CAGACTTGGGGTCCTTAACTTCTTCGACGAAAGTATACTTCTCTTCCCCGAGCTGGTGTTCGTAAACAAGACCGGCCCATCCGAGAACGTCAGGCGTTAAATCCTCTACACTGTTCTGGGCGACACCACCGCAGATCAACTGGAGACGCTCCATGTTTCTCCGCTTAGCTCTCCGAAGAGCAAGGATACCATTCTTGCTAAGGACATCCAAGCTCAGGGGATCAATACCCTTTTGGTTGATAACAACGAAGTTCTTCTTCGGATCCAGGCCGCAAACCTGCTTCTTGAGCTCCACAATCTTCTGCAGTTTGGAGTCCACAAACTTGCGCTCACTCTCCACCAATTTATCTCGTTGTTCAGCAGAAGAGTAGTAGAAACCGGAGTTGATCTCTGATTTCTCATACTCTAAACTGACGTTCAAGGTGAGGATGAAAGCATTTTCAACCCTCTTAGGCATATCAGGGTGTCTTGCACCGTGGTCCAGGGCAAGACCACGAATGAGTTGAGTGTCGGAAGATGTGCGATGTTGCATGGTCATGATCTCAACCATGTGCAGATCTGGCTTCTCGGGAGCTCTGTGGATAGCGAGAACGGCATCGACAATGTCGGGGGTAAGCTTCTCGGCAAGTGCACTGTTCAATTTCGTACTGAGCGAAGTCCGAGCGACAGACAGCAACAGTTCACGGTCGATTGCACGCTCAATCTTAAACTGATCAAGGAACTGTATACAAACGTATCAGCCTCGACGCTCATATGGCCACCAGTCTCTCAGTACTGACCTTAAGAGCCTCGTTCTTCGCGATCTCATATCCATCTGTGATTACTCTAGGGTGCAATCCTTCGGAGATGTAACGATCTGCCTGCTTCAGAAGTTCTCCCACCAACAACACCACGGAAGTTGTTCCATCACCAGTGATATCATCCTGTGCTGTCGCAGCTCGGGCAATCATGACCTTCGCCAAATCAGTATTCGAAGGGGTCTCTGGAAACGTGAGGAAGGCATCTTACGGCGGTGGGGTTTTGGATTTGCTGTACAAACATTAGCCTGTGCCTGAGGGTTCATAGATTTGCCTAAGCCTTACCATCTCTCGCAATAGCACATTTCCATCCTTAGTCAGTTTGATCTATTTTGCATGCTCATTAGGTAGCTGATTTTGCGATAAGGGGAAATATATCATACTCCGCCGGCACCGTCCACCAACCTAAATTTTGTCAGTGCTTTCCCATCTTGCATCTATCACGTGTGAGAACGTACATCTTCAATGTCCCGGAGGGGCCCAGGTTAGATTTAAGAACATCCTGGAGACCTTCACCAGCACTAATATTGACTCTCAAGGCTTCCGCCCTCCGCTGTGCAATGTTAATTTGCGTGTGACCACTGAGGGGCTACTTCTGAGGGGGAAATTATCAGTGACATACCCTCGACTCGGCCTTGGGATTAAGTAACTGAGTTGCAGACATTTTTGCTGAATGGGTAAATAACAATCAGCAATCCCCAGCGAACTAACTCGTAGAAAAACAGGCTTGCTGGTGCTATCGGCCCCAAAGAATAGCCCGCACTGGCACAAAGCTGGTGGTGTTTGCCGTCGAATGCGGTGAGCTCGTAGTTTTGGCAAAAAGCCCACATTCAGTATTCGCACTAGCGCCGCCGCGAAAAAAAAGAGCTCCGACGGCTCGACTCTCCAAATTTGCCCTCCAGCCTTTTTTTACCAACTCCACGGCGCTCCACGGCAAGTCTACGACCGCAGACTCCCGGGATTTGGGTAAGGGGCTCGATCGATTACACTTGAAGGAAATTTTTCCCTTGTTATATTGGCCCTTTGACTCAATTTCACCATGGCCGACTTCCTACTTTTCGAGGGCCCTATGGGCTACGGACTTTTCAAGGTCGCCCACCAGGGTGACAGCGTCGGCAATCGCTTGAAGGAGGTCCAGGATGGTGTTAACGATCTTTCTAAGTTTGGAAAAATGGTTGAGTTGGCTAGTTTCCTCCCATTCGAGTATGTCCGACTTCCTGATTGGGTTCTTTAATAAAGACTGACTAGTCCCAGGAACAACAAGATGGCTTTGAGCGAAATCAACGATGTCTCGGAAGGTGTTGCCTCCGATACTCTTATTTCCTTCCTCGAATTGAACCTTCCTAAGCCTAACAAGAAGAAGAAGATTGTTCTGGGCGTCCTGGACAAGGCTTTGGCCGGAAGTATCAAGTCTGCCTTTTCTTTCGTTGACTGCGAAACCGGCGACACCAGCGAGGTTGTCCAAGACATGCTCCGTGGTATCAGGCTTCACGCTACCAAGTTGCTGAAGCAACTCCGTGAGGGTGATATGGACACTGCTCAACTTGGTCTTGGTCACGCTTACTCCCGTGCCAAGGTCAAGTTCTCTGTCCAGCGTGACGATAACCATATCATTCAGGCCATTGCTATCCTTGACCAGCTCGATAAGGCTATTAACACATTCTCTATGAGAGTTCGGGAGTGGTACTCGTGGCATTTCCCTGAGCTCATCAAGATCGTTTCGGACAACCAGCGCTATGCGCAAATCGCTCTGTTCGTGAAGGATAAGACCACTCTGACTGACGACAAATTGCACGATCTTGCTGCTCTTGTGGAGGACGATGAGGGCGTTGCCCAAAGCATTATTGATGCTGCGAAGCACAGTATGGGCCAAGAGATTTCTGAGACCGACATGGAGAACGTCACCGCTTTTGCGCAAAGAGTCGTCAGCCTTTCCCAGTACCGCAAGTCTCTGCATTCGTACCTGACTTCCAAGATGAGCGTTGTTGCGCCCAATCTTGCTGCCTTGATTGGAGAGATCGTTGGTGCTCGTCTCATTTCGCACGCCGGAAGCTTGACCAACCTTTCCAAATACCCCGCTTCCACTGTGCAGATTCTCGGTGCTGAGAAGGCTCTCTTCAGAGCCTTGAAGACTAAGGGAAACACCCCTAAGTACGGTCTTCTGTACCACTCTTCTTTCATTGGCAAGGCTGGCCCCAAGAACAAGGGTCGGATCTCTCGATTCCTTGCGAACAAGTGCTCTATCGCCTCCAGAATCGATAACTTCTCTGAGGAGCCTACGACCAAGTTTGGTGAAGTCCTCAAGAAGCAAGTTGAGGAGCGTTTGGAGTTCTATGCTACCGGAGCGGCCCCTACTAAGAATGAAATTGCTATGGTATGTTTTCCTCCATTATCACCATTACTCTCAACTTTTGGGTGATATACTAATGTTGCATCTAGAAAAACGCCATGGATGCTGTCTTAGCTGATATGGACGTCGATGTGGATCAGAGCGATGAAGAGATGGAAGATGCTGAGGCTGAGAGCAAGAAGGAGAAAAAGGACAAGAAGGAGAAGAAGGAAAAGAAGGAGAAGAGTGAGAAGAAGGAGAAGAAGAAGGAGAAGGGCGACAAGGAGGAGAAGAAGAAGAAGAGGAAGTCCGATGTTGGTGAGGGCGAGTCTGAGAAGAAGAAGCGGAAGCACGACAGCGATGCTGAGCCGTCCAAGAAGAAGAAGAAGGTCTAAATGCACCATTTTCTGGGACACGAGGGCGTCATTGTCGCGGCGTTGTAGGGTTGATTTTGAGTTTATATTTTCCTATCTATGTTTTGTTTTACTTCACGACTTGTTGGGCTGGGTATTTGTAAATTATTCGATTGAGGCCTCCGTCGTGCTAAAATTTTGTCTGTAGCTCCTGAAAATGTCAATCGGATTTTTATGTTCTACATGGATCTGAGCATTATGCGATACTTGTACATTAGTACCTGCTAGACTACTATATTACACTCATTCAGCCCTACAGTTATTCAATTGCCATGGCGTTTTAGATCGGAAAGAAGGCGGAATCGTACTGCCGTCGTCCACAGGAGACAAACTGCCGCAAACCCCCTCTCGAACAATGAACCAACCCCATTGCTTCTCACTCAATGGCGATGGCCCGAGCCCTTGCATACTCCGCAATCCTCCATTTATATGAGCTATGATGGCTGCAAGTGATACAAGCTCGGGATAGGACCTATAGAAGATGATGATCTACTGAGATCCCTGTTCCTGTGAACCTGAGAGTCTCTACTTTATTAATGAAGGCTTATCAAAGTGATGCCCCCACATCCGCCTTCAGTTTCAGCCCCGCGATGATGCCTACGAGTTCACCGACAATGATTTTGAACTCGCCCAGGCCCAAGCGCAGCGCTTCAGAAGAATCCGATAACTACAGCCCTTCTATATCATCTCCATCTAGCGTTTCGGCTCCTAGCCTACCAGAAGTGAAGCTTCGCGAGGAAGAAGAGTTTGGGAGATATAGTCCTCGAGCCGCCGTTGCTGGTCGCCTAGGGCAGCTGGCCATACGTGGGGACCACTTTCCGACACCGCAATTTCTGAATGGTAATATAAGCCAGTCACCACTTGTGCACTACGCAGAGTCGGGATGTTGGGCTACTTCCTATAACAGTTCTTATGATATGTCCGAGTCGAACTCAGCGACAGAAACCAACACTGTCGCCAGTGGGCCTTCTGAAGCAATTATTGATAATCGGAGCAATGCTACACCAACTCCGTCTCCCAAGAAACAGACAGCACAAAGCCCTCGCAAGAGACGAACCCCCACAAAAACACAACGACCACGTAAGAAGTCACCGCCACCCACTAGCAGTGCAGCTAACGACTCGCTTACATGGCACGACTCCGAGATAACCGGGCATGATCCAAGTGATCCGAACGACGATGGATATGGTATCAATGGAATAGGCTTTAAACCGACAGCAGCAATGGCCTGGTCCAGATCACAGAAGAGGCAGAAGCAGCTTGCGGAATGGAAGAGTCGTGAGGCAAGGGAAGCGCGAGAAAAAAGAAGGGAAAAACGAGACGCTGTTGGTTTCGAAAAGCTACGGACTATTCAGTCGGGCGCCATTCAGAAGAGAGTCAAATTTGACGTCTGATTGATTTTCACCTACCATCTCTTTGTCTTGTTCCTTTTTTTTTTTTTTTTTTTTTTCTTTTCTATTTTTTTACTTGCCCTTGGTCCCCCAAGTTTTCTTTCTTTCTTTCTTTCTTCTTGGATTGGCGCAACTTTTGATGCAATGGAGCATGGGATATGAATGAGCTGGCGTTGGTTTGGATATTGATATGCGATCATGAAACTATTCTTCCTTGGCAGGCTGGAGCCTGATGAGATAGAAATATGTACTGTACATCCCACTCGAAATTTACAAAGCGATCCCAGCAAACTCCATGACTCCGGGAAATGCGCGAAAGGACTACCAGAACTTATAGTTCGAAAGGTTCGTCCAGCTCTTCTTTTTCTTCTCTTCCTCTGCCAAACGCGCGACCTCCGCAGCCTTCTCTTCCTTCTCTCGCTGTTTCTTGATCTTCAGCTCTTTCATCAACTCCACAGCTTGTTTCATACCGTCCAACTCTTGTACTCGACGCCGCTGGCAGAACTCGTGCGCTGCGAGAGAGGTGAGGGCAAATGCGCCAACAGCCCAATTGGAAGCAGTCCATAATGAGCGCAATCCTAAACAATCATTATTTTAGGGTTACCAAATGTCATGTCCTAAGAAAATCCGAGTGAATAAAGTCACTTACCTCCTAATACACCTCTGATGCCACCAATTCCGAACCCTGCTCCAATACCCAGCAGTAGGGAGTCTCGTGCGCATGGTGCTTTGTAGAATGATGTGACATCTTTAAGGGACATTGACTTCATAGCTTCCGTGACCGTAGCGTCCTTCGAGCCCCTCCCAGAGGGTCCAGCCCCCGTTGCTAGCACGTTCGCAGACTCTTCGGGATTCCCAAAAGCATCCCATAGCTTTCCGACCTGTGACTTGGGGAATTCATGCTTGGGCTTGTTTTGTTGGGAGGCCTCTTGGGAGCTGTTATGCTGCTCAATGTTCGGGGTAGACGATTCCAGAGTGTCCCCCGCCATGGCGTATGACCTATATTGAATTGTTGTTTAAGCCCAGTCAACACGTACTATCACCTAGATCGCTGGCAGACTCTTGCAAGAACAATGATCTATCGGAGAAGATATTATCCGGAGGTATCCTGATACTGCCAACCCTGGTTAATTTTACCGGGGGCGGTGGATGGCTGGCTAAAAGGCACGCGTATAGTGGAACGCGAACGCGTCCGACTGGTACCCGCAGATTAGCAACCAAATTTGGGCTTCTCAGTAGCTTAGCATGATCTGAGTTAACAAGATTGAGTACACTGGGCCCTCAAACTTTGATCAATTTTCTACTAAGTTTACAATTTGGCAGGAACCAAACATGCCCATTCTGTGTTCTACTAATAATTAATACTTAACGTTTGCGTTCCATGCTTAACCAACTTTCACATCTCCCACAGTGATCCAGCCCTAGCCAGTGGGCATATCGTCGCAATGCCTCAGAGGAAACCCAGCAAGTACGGAAACAAGTTTCGATCGAATGCTGCATCTTTCAAACCAAAACGGACAAAGACCATCGAATTTTCTTCTCTTCGATCGACAGAAGCCACCTCACAAGATGAGAAATTCGAGGCGATTCGGCTGGCGAACAGCATCGACGAATCATTGGGATTCCCGCGCTTTGAGTCCGGCGAGAAAAGGATTGGTTGGCTTACCAATATGCACAGTACTTCAGTAGAAGATCCGAATGTCCCCGGGGGACGCGCCGGTGTGGACTATTACTTTCTTGAAGACAACGGCGGAAGTTTCAAGGCAACAGTTGAATATGACCCATATTTTCTCCTCGCAGTGAAGAAGGGACACGAGGCTGAAGTTGAGGAATGGTGTCGGAGAATGTTCGAAGGACTTATCAAGAAGGTCGCGAGAGTAGAGAAAGAAGACCTTAAGCTACCGAACCACCTGCTCGGGCACCGGAGAACTTTCCTTCAAATGTACTTTGCAAATGTAAGCCATCTGCTGGAAGTTCGAAGGACTCTTCTACCACTGGCGGAAAAGAACAAGAAAAATGTGAATGTGATGGATACTTACGTGGAGATTTCAAGGTTTGTTGAACTCAGGCGGATGCTAGCTGGATTGGTTAGGAGCTAACTATGTTCTTAAGCGCAAATGCTGGCTTTGATCTCTTTGATGACGAAATAATTAATGAGTCACGATCTAATGGAACTATGGAAGCGAGTGATTTTATAATTGATATCCGGGAATATGACGTTCCTTACCATGTTAGAGTGGCGATTGACAAAGGTAGGCGACTCCTTCCTATGATGTGTATTACCTGACTGACACATCGTCTTGAAGATATCCGGATAGGAAAATGGTACACTGTAGAGGCAAAACACGGTGTGATCTCATTGACTTGCATAGAGGAACGAGTCCAACGTCCTGACCCGGTTGTTCTCGCTTTTGATATTGAAACGACTAAACTGCCGCTAAAATTCCCTGACTCTGTCATCGATCAAATTATGATGATTTCGTACATGATTGACGGGCAAGGATTCTTGATTACGAATCGAGAGATAGTATCTGAAGATATCAACGATTTCGAGTACACGCCCAAGCCCGAATACTACGGTCCATTCATGATTTTCAATGAACCCGATGAAAGGAGTGTCCTAGAAAGATTTTTTGGGCACATAAAAGAGGCTAAACCGACTGTTATCGCTACATATAACGGTGATTTCTTCGATTGGCCGTTCGTTGAAGCGAGAGCAAGTGTCCTTGGAATCGATATGTATACGGAGATCGGCTTTCGCAAAAACAGTGAAGACATTTATCAGAGCGATCACTGCGTGCATATGGATTGCTTTGCTTGGGTCAACCGTGATAGTTACCTCCCCCAGGGAAGTCGTGGTTTAAAAGCCGTCACTGTTGCAAAGCTCGGATATGACCCTGATGAACTCGACCCGGAACTCATGACCCCGTACGCAAGTGAACGCCCTCAAACACTAGCCGAATATTCGGTGTCCGATGCCGTCGCCACATATTATTTATATATGAAATACGTCCATCCTTTCATCTTCTCGCTTTGTACCATTGTCCCGCTTAATCCCGATGACACGCTGCGGAAAGGAACAGGTACTCTTTGTGAGATGCTGCTGATGGTTCAAGCATATCAAGGCGAGATCGTTCTGCCTAACAAGCACAAAGACCCCCCCGAAGCTTTCTATGAAGGCCACCTTCTGGAGTCAGAGACATATGTTGGTGGACACGTGGAAAGTATCGAAGCTGGTGTGTTTCGAAGTGATATCCCCGTTACATTCAAGATCGATCCTACTGCCATCGATGAACTGCTTCGCGATTTGGACGCGGCTCTGACATTCAGCATTGAGGTGGAAGAGAAAAAGTCATTGGATGATGTCGTCAACTACGAGGAAGTCAAGGAACAGATCTCCAAGCTTTTGATCGCCCTGAAGGAAAATCCGAACAGGGAGGAGAATCCTTTCATCTACCATTTGGATGTTGCTTCCATGTACCCGAATATCATCACCACAAATCGATTACAGCCAGATGCCATGATCCAGGAATCCAACTGCGCTGCCTGCGACTTCAACCGACCTGGCAAAACCTGTGACAGGCGAATGCCGTGGGCCTGGAGAGGCGAATTTCTTCCTGCTAAACGTGATGAATATAACATGGTTCGGCAAGCGGTTGCAAACGAAAGATTTCCAGGCAAGACGAAAAACAGTCCGATGAGGTTGTTTGGCGATATGAGCGCTGAAGAACAGTCTGCTATAGTCAAGAAGAGGCTTCAGGACTATAGTAAGAAGATTTACCACAAAATTCACGACAGCAAGACAATGGTCCGAGAGGCTATTATCTGCCAGCGAGAGAATCCCTTCTACGTGAACACGGTCCGCAACTTCCGAGATCGCCGATACGATTTCAAAGGCAAACAAAAAGTTTGGAAAAACAAGACTGATTCCCTCAAATCGGCAGGCGCTTCGGCGGCGGACATTGAAGAAGCAAAAAAGATGATCATTTTGTTCGACTCGCTACAGCTTGCCCATAAAGTCATCCTAAACAGTTTCTACGGTTACGTCATGAGAAAGGGATCTCGATGGTATTCACTGGAAATGGCTGGCGTGACGTGTCTGACGGGTGCTCGAATCATCCAGATGGCAAGAGAGCTAGTTGAACGTATCGGTCGTCCACTGGAGCTTGACACAGACGGTATCTGGTGTATGCTTCCTGGGTCCTTCCCCGAGAACTTTTCTTTCACTCTGAAGAATGGGAAGAAGCTGGGGATTTCTTATCCATGTGTTATGCTGAATCACCTTGTCCATGGAAGTTATACTAATCACCAGTACCAAACCCTTGCCGATCCAAAGACTTTTAGATACGAGACGCATAGTGACAACTCCATTTTCTTCGAGGTCGACGGACCGTATAAAGCAATGATTCTGCCAACCTCGAAAGAGGAGGATAAGAACTTGAAGAAGCGCTATGCTGTTTTCAATCATGATGGGTCTTTGGCTGAACTGAAAGGGTTCGAAGTGAAGCGGAGAGGAGAGTTGAAGCTGATTAAGATTTTCCAGACTCAAATCTTCAAGTTCTTCTTAGAAGGAACGTCGCTTGAAGAAACATATGCTGCTGTAGCCCGAGTAGCTGACAGATGGCTGGATGTGCTATATGAACATGGAACTACATTGGCCGATGAGGAATTGATCGAACTCATTTCTGAGAACAGGAGTATGACGAAGACTCTGGAAGAATATGGTAGCCAGAAATCCACATCTATCACTACGGCACGCCGTCTAGCAGAGTTCTTGGGAGAGCAAATGGTCAAAGACAAAGGTCTGAACTGCAAATACATCATATCTGCAAGGCCAAGGAATACACCTGTTACGGAGCGAGCTATTCCAGTAGCGATCTTCTCGGCTGAAGAAAGTGTGAAACGGTTCTTCTTGCGGAAATGGCTGAAAGATGACCCTGGCGATTGTGACCCTCGAACTGTGATTGATTGGGATTATTATCTGGAGCGACTCGGATCTGTCGTGCAGAAACTTATCACAATCCCTGCTGCTCTCCAGAAGGTCCGCAACCCAGTGCCTCGAGTCGCTCACCCAGATTGGCTGCAGAGGCGGATCAATGTGAAGGACGATAAGTTTAAGCAAATTAAGATGACCGACGTATTTGCGAAGAGCGAGAAAAACCCATTGACAGACATCTCTACGAATATCCTCGACCATCGTGTGCAACATAGCGGTGATATAGGTGAGGTAATTGCAAGCTCAACTGAGAAGTTGAAGTCCTCCCCAAACAGTAAGACATCGCAGAAAAGAAAGCTTCCGGAAGGTCCTACGAAAACTTCTCTCGACCCTTTTGCTAGCCTGCCATCAAGGATGCCGCCAATGGCAGACGATTATGTCGGATTCTTGAAATATCAAAAGCAAAAGTGGAAAATCCAGAAGCAAGCACGCATCCGCCGCCGCCAGCTTTTCGGCGAAAGGACAAATATTGCCAATGACTCCTTGAGTCATCTTTTCAGAAACCAAGCCGAGCTTCTTTATATCAGTACCTGGCAAGTTTTGCAGCTGACTGAAACGACAAGGCCAGGCATCGTTCGAGCTTTTGTCTTGATTGATAAAAAGGTTCATACTCTCACAGTCAAAGTTCCCCGGCAAATGTACATCAATCTGAAACGAGACTCTCTCCCTGATGTTGATGTTCCAGATTGTGAGGTTGAGAAAGTCAATCACACTTTGCCGAACGGGCATCCTTCGGTGCATTTGTTCAAATTGACTTTGTCTGAGGAGACCTATTTGCGTGAGGCTGACAAGATGGATACACTTCTACAGCATCCAAGCATTGAAGGTGTCTATGAGAAGAGTATTCCTTTGAATGTTCGTGCTATCTTGAAACTTGGTAGTATATGTACTTTTGACGAGGAACAGCGAGGTGTTCTGGGAGAAGGGTTGGAGAGTGGATTTGATCTGTCGACTTTATGTCGTACATCATCAGACCAGCCTTATCTCATGGACTCACCGCTAGTCTATCACTACCTATATCATGTCGCTTCTGGTGATAGGCAGATTTTCGCCCTGTTCTCAACAACTAAAAGTGAGGCACATGTTATCATCTTGAACCGCACGAGAGACGTCCAGGGCCTTCCGAACGTCGACAAAATATACACGGATCTTCTCATGCGGAGGAAGCAGAACATATCCGGAGATGAGCCTCAAAATGCATTCGAGTACCAGGAGAAGATTCACTTCCGAACCACGCAAGTCACAACCAGAAGAAAGGCATATCTAGAGGTCGGCGACTTGATCAAGAAATTCAGAAGCGAAGAAACCCAGCCAACGGTTCTTGTTATACAATCGCAGCAAAGAAGTCGTCTATGCCACGACATCCCCATGCTGAGGGAGTATCCAATTATGTCAGTAAAACCAGAAGTGTCTGATATGGATCTTCCCCCTCTAGGCTGGCAGGCATTCATTGCAAGACGACTTGTCACACACTACCTGTATCTCTCGGCTTGGATCCAGCATCTGACTATGCTGGCAAGATACGGCGACGTTCCCCTCTGCAACTTGGAAAGTGACGACCCCCGGTATCTTATTGACATATCATACGCCAGGCGCCTTCAACAGAACAATGTCGTCCTCTGGTGGTCTTCCGGTCCAAGGCCTGATCATGCAGGGTACGAAAAGGATGACATAACAGGCCCTCTAGAGAAGGTATCCATGCCATCTGTCAATGTCCCAAGCGCTTACACCACCGTGTGTATCGAGCTTGAAGTTCGCAATCTTGCCATTAATACTATCCTAACATCCTCGATCATTAACGAGATGGAAGGTGCGGATACACTTCTAGCATCATCCGAGCCTTCAGCTGATTCCAACGGGTCCGGCGTCCTTTATTCGGAGAAGGCGTTCGCATCAGCGGGTGCAATTGTACTACGGGAAATGGTGAAACACTGGTGGACTGAGGCCTGTGAAGGAAACAATATGGCAGATATCATGGTGCAGCACCTGATTCGCTGGGTAGAGAGCCCAGTCTCGTGCCTTTATGATCGGTCTCTACATAACTACGTGCGCATGTTGTCCAGAAAGTCGTTTCAGCGACTTATGGCTGAGTTTAGACGCGTTGGGTCAAATATTGTTTTCGCTAGCTCTACACGCCTCTTGCTTCAGACCACTAAGGCTGAAGTCGGAAACGCCTACGCATACAGTCAATACGTATTGAAATCGATCCGCGCAAACCCGTCTTTTCATTTTATTGATCTCGAAATCAAGGAATACTGGGACTACCTGGTCTGGTATGACGAGTACAATTACGGCGGAAAAGGCTGTCGGGAAGTGGTTGGATCCGATGAACAGGAACTGGAAACTGTCATGCATTGGCAGCTCAGCCGTTTCCTCCCGGGCCCAATGCAGACAATCTTCCATGATTGGGTGGTGGAATATATCGATCTGATGCACAGCATCAAGCACCCCGAATCGGCCGACTCGTCCACTCCCCGAATGACGCAGATCCCGATCGGGCGCCCGACAGACGAGGACGATGATGAAGTATCTGCTGTCCTTGCGGAGAAATTCTCGAAGCCCTTGAAGAAGCAAATATCTGGTCTTATCCGCCGTCAGCGCGAGGAAATGCTACACCCTGAGCTTGCATCTGACTACCTTTTCCCCGTCCTTCCCGGGGTGTTGTCGGACCCCAACGAAGAGAAGCGCAATCCTGTGTTAGAATTGGTCAAAATGTTGATGCAGGTCCTTAGTCTCTCCAAGACGACAAGCTTGGAGAACCGACTTCTCCGTCGCGAACTACTAGCCATGTTTGAGGTACGAGAGTTCAGCAAAGAGGGTCGATTTGAGAATCCGGCTGCCAGTTTGAAACTTCCCGAGCTGACCTGCAGCGCATGCTGCTTGATTCGAGATCTGGACCTGTGCCGCGATGAAGATGTCCTCCCGGATCCCGGATCTGACCCAAGCAAGGCCGTGACGAAGCCCTGGCGCTGTCCTTTCTGTCAAACTGAATATGATCGACTGGCTCAGGAAGAGATCCTTATCGGCCAGGTCCATGGATTGATCGTTGGCTGGCAGACACAGGATTTGAAATGCTCCAAATGTGGAGGGCTGAAGGTCAGCGAGTTCATGGAGCATTGCTCGTGCAGTGGTAAATGGGTGGAAACCATGGATCGTGCAGAAGCGGAAAAGAAACTGCGAGTCCTCAACAGTGTCGCGAAGTTCCATGGGCTTAAGCTCTTGGAGAATGTGGTGGAAGGAGTCCTAGAACAGATATGATCAAATTCGTGCGGTTTTTTTTTCTTTTTCTTTTTTCTTTTTATCTCCGTTTTCATGACTTCAGATGGGTACATCTATGTACGTGGGAGTAAGAAGGACTGCATGATCATCTTCAGTACTATACATGGCGTTTGGGATGCTTGGGGGGAATCTTTTGTGTGTGAGGGTTTTATTGTATAGTATATCCATCAGTGTATGTATGCGTCTGTAATGCCAGGGAATTTTACAGAACCCAAAATTGGTAAACTTATTTTGACCTGTCAATCAATAAGGTTGGAACCGGCGGTCACGAAGTGATCAGCTCACTTTCTCTTTTCTTCTTTTCTCCACGGTGTTCAGATCCTCTGCCGGTCCTCTGCCATTCCCAAGAGTTCTTTGTTCATGAAAGTTCGAGTATTTATATTTGCGGAGCTCCAGCGTTTGAGATCAGTCAAGCCCCCACTCCATCATTTTATCAGCGGCGACGGTTATCGAGATTGCGTTTCAACCAATTAATTAACCCCGCCATCGATTTCCGCGACAATTTCACCGCAAGTGCGACAGACCCATCCCACCGTCCCTGCGACCGGTGAACCTCTCAAACCGGTGGGTTCCCTTGCCAAGCGGACATATCTGCAGCCTAATTTGACTATAAGGGGTTGAAACCCCCTACAGCTTGACGGTCTCTTGCTGACGATATAGTCAACAGTGCCGGCTCACGAAGCGCGTCCTATCCTTTTCTGCTCTATCGCGCGGAGACCAAACGGCTTCTTCCGATATTGAAGGACTCCCTGGTTGGATACCTTATTTCTCTCCTTAAATGGCATCACAGGCACAAGCTCAGGCTCAGGCCCAGGCCCAGGCCCAGCGACCCAAGGTCCAGCCTTGTCGATACAAGACGGGGAAGACCCTGGGCGCTGGATCTTACTCCGTTGTGAAGGAGTGCGTACACATCGACACTGGTCGGTATTATGCCGCGAAGGTGATCAATAAGCGACTGATGGCGGGGCGCGAACACATGGTATGGGTGTCTACTAGGAAATGTCCAGAGGATATACGATCGCTGGCAATATGAGTTGACTATGATTGTAGGTTCGCAACGAGATCGCTGTGCTCAAGAAGGTGTCAATGGGTCATCAGAACATTTTGACCTTGGTCGATTACTTTGAAACTATGAATAACTGTATGTCTCATCTCGGATCCTGGCCTATGAATTGTACCCTAGGTTAACCGTCCCGGTTGTGCAGTATATCTGGTCACCGACCTCGCACTGGGCGGCGAGCTGTTCGACCGTATCTGTCGTAAAGGCAGCTACTTCGAATCAGATGCTGCGGATCTTATCCGCGCCATTCTGTCGGCTGTGGCCTACTTACATGATCACGGTATCGTGCACCGTGACTTGAAGCCGGAGAATCTGCTATTTCGCACCCCGGAGGATAATGCGGATCTTTTGATTGCCGACTTTGGATTGTCCAGAATCATGGACGAAGAACAGTTCCATGTTCTCACTACGACATGCGGTACGCCCGGGTACATGGCGCCCGAGATTTTCAAAAAGAGCGGCCACGGAAAACCAGTGTATGTCCCCACAGAGTGCCCATTCATTGCAACCGCCTGAATAGGCCAAATTTCCGGTTTTCAACAGTACGTCTGACACAATGCAACAGGGATATCTGGGCCATCGGTGTCATTACCTACTTCTTGCTCTGCGGCTACACCCCCTTTGACCGCGACTCCAACCTGGAAGAGATGCAGGCCATCCTTGCAGCTGACTACTCTTTTACCCCGCTCGAATACTGGCGCGGCGTCTCGCCGCACGCCCGGGATTTCATCAAACGGTGTCTGACCGTCGATCCCGAAGCACGTATGACCGCCCACGAAGCCCTCCAACACATCTGGGTTAACCCGCCCTACGACCCATACGCCGACCAGTCCGGTGAAGACTTGCTCCCGACCGTCAAGAAGAACTTCAACGCCCGTCGTACACTTCACAAGGCCATCGATACCGTCCGTGCGATCAACAAGCTCCGCGAAGGCGGCGGCCTGATGATGGACGGGGTGATGAGCGTAGACCCGAAGCCGGAAAGGGTCAACGGCAACCAAGTCGTCGAGGAAAAATCACACCACGACGGACAGATGGACCTCGACGGCCGCGGCGATGCACGCGGCCAGACGGAGGAACAGATCCGGGCACAGGAGCAAAGAGTGAAACAGATGGTAGCCGGATTGTGGAGTAGATCTGCGAAGAAATGACGAGAAAAACGAATCTGATGATAGATATGCCAAGATTTTCAGCCACCGTTTTTCCTTATGATCGGGCTTTTCCTTTTTCGTTTGCTTCTTTGCGTGTCTTATACAGTTTTGTTTCTTGCTTGGTTGGTTTTGCTGCCATTGCTTGAGCTCTGACGATTGTTTATGTCGATGCATGGCAATGCATTAATTACTATTTGGTATATGATGCATTTTGGATATATGTGTATGTATATATATATATCGCTGCCGCGGGAGGTCTCCATACTTTTGCAGTGGGGATTAAACAGATATTCAAAGAAATATCTCATATATCTTTGCACCATATCTATTGATGGAACTATACAGTATTACAATAATCGATCGCTTGATGTCGAAGCAAATCGGGGGAAGTAAGACTGGTCCATCAACAAACCCTACAAAAAGCACATCCCATGCTTGTACATTGAACAATAAAACTGAAATATAATACAATAAAAAGTACAGAAAACCATACTGCATAGTAGAATAAATAAGTGATGCACAGTTCAACTACGATGATAGAATTGAGGGATGGGACTAGACGTGATATGCCTCAATTTCGGGATATCGCTTGATATTCAAAAAACTCTGCAGACCCTGAAAACATATTAAACCGAACACGCCATTACCTCTTCATTGACACCATCACATCATTAGCCAAATAGACAGGCGGTCTCCAAAATGCACCTCCCAGGCCAAGGGCTAGAAAGTATCACTCGCAGAATAGAAACCAAGACTATCATATATGTTCATACAGCTGGACTCAACAGCTTCTCACTTCCATCCCCCAGGGACAGAACCCACTGCCGCCATTCCTGCCATTCGGCGTAGCTCGCGGAGGCCTTCAAACCTTGATACTTGACTACTCGGAAGTCGGAGACCTGCTCCCATGGCTTGCTGGAGGTGGGGGTGTGACCTCCGCTGCTGCTACCTCTTAGAAATCTCCTGGTCATGCTTTCGTGGCCACCATCCCAGCCTGCTTTTTCCATCAAGCTTCTCAGTGTCTGCTCTTTAGTCCACCCTTGCTCCACGGGGACGTCCGGTAGGTAGGTTGCACCGTAGCGTCGACCGCGGTTAATGAATGAGATACGGATTCCATGGACTCCGAGAGTCCAGTCTAAAGCGTTAGTGCAGGGCTCAAAGGATCCAAGGAGGGTTAAAGAGCATGATAGGGTGGGTATAGCGGCGGCTGGAATTGGAGTGAAGCGGGTATCCTCGAACGCACTACGACCGCGTTAGCAACAGGCATCTAGGTGGGAGATGATCCATCTGCTCCCACATCGGTGATACATACGAGGTGAGGGCGTAGGATTCCAAGCCTGCAGCAAGCTCCTGCGCCTCAAAAGTACCGATACAACCGCGAAGTGACTTACGGCCACTCCTGGACACGGTGTTCCAAGTTACGAATAACGGATACTGCTGGTCTTTTCCCCTTTGTCGTCTCCAGCCGCTCGCATCGGACTGCAGCGACTGTGAGCTTGGTGTGGTCATGGTAGTAGTGGGAGTGGAACTAGATAGGCCTGAATGCGAGGAATTACTCGACGGCGTGGTAACAGAGCTCGAGCCCGGCGAGATCTGGCTTTGGAGGCGACTGATATTTGGTAGCTTCAATCCCCGAGGGCCGTTCTTGGATTTAGAGGATACACCGTCTATGTCATCATCGTCATCCCCAGACTGCAGGCCAAGACTCTCGCTCTCCCTCAGAGAAACCGACTCATCGTGGTCCTGGAGAGCAGAAACCTTCCTAAACTGCTCGTATCGTTCCCATAGCTCCTCCACGGCTGAGAGGCTAATGTGCTCTTGACCTTTATACGAGACGGCGAGGCATTCAAAGCAGTAATAGCAATGGGCGGGGGTTGCCATATTCTCAGAAGCGCCAGGATCACGGGCAAGAGGTGAAAGAAATTACTGCAAAGCAAGCCAGGTGTCCTTGTCCTTGAAAAGAGCCAGGTTTCCTGTGACAGGTCTTCTGATACTAACAGACACCTTGCTCCACCCGGGATGGACACCGCCGCTTGCCGCTTATCTCGCGAGAGGATACACAAGATCAGCACTACTTATGGACAGATATCAAGCCCGTTTGAGTCAATTTATTCTGAGAGGAGGCAGATAGATCCAGCCGCGAAGCTCACTGTCTGGTTCCGTCTGTGTTTGTGTCTGGTAGAGGAGAGGGGAAAGAAGGAATGAGGGGGAAGTACTCCCATTACATATCAGGCGTCGATAAGATAAGCTCCACGTGATGGTATGGTTGGTTATCCTCCCGTGACCAGATTAGACGCAGAAAAAGAGATTGAAGAATTCCAACGTTTCATGGGATTGCTTTTCATACGATGACGCAAAGGAAAACTCGAGACAAGCTCCTTAGGGCTACTGAATACTTCGATGCAACTTGATTGACTAGCGGGGGTTGTTCCAGGGTTATAAGGCGGCGGAACCTGGTTCGGTGGTCCCTGAATAACCCTTCCCGTGATCTAGATACTAACTTCAACCACTCTACGGAGATTCTTTACCATGAGCAATACTTGCAAGTCAGTAAGTCTCTCCATTTCGGCTGTACTTAGGTACACGGAGGGGAAAAAGATGAATCATATAAACTACATACTACAACAGCCTTAACCATTCCTACTTGGTCCGAACGCTCCGTGGACATGTTAAGGACCGGCCCCACCATACTAATCAATATTTGGCTTCGCCACGCTTTAAAAAGAGTCTTAGGAAGCAACACCAGAAGACAAAAAGAGAGATGAAACGTCAGCGACAGGATTTGAACCTGTGCGGGCGAACCCAACAGATTTCTAGTCTGTCGCCTTAACCACTCGGCCACACTGACGGTTGTTGATGTTTACATGTATTCTTAAGTAAAATATAAAGCAATTTTGGGAATGTCCTAGGCTAAACGGCTTGCTACACGCCAGCACAGGTAAGTAGATAGCAAGGACAGTCGAAGGGAAACAAACCTCCCCCCTAAAAGAAAATTAGAAAGCTTTATTACTTCTATCACTATCTCTTAATATCTTACAGGGCTATTCTTCCATACCGTCACTACTGGTCTGCCTTACCACCCCATGCTATGGACACTCTAGTCTATACGAGGATGGCAAACACCCCACTGTGTTCATTTGCCACTGTCTTCGTACCTGCAATCGTAGCAGATCACTGGAGTCGTAAACATGATTATAGTATCACATGATAGGCGAGCCCTACCTGGGAAAGGTTGTGGGAGGTCAACCAATCAGAATATATCTACTATCGTCTATTGTCTTGAGGCTATGGAAACCACCCTTTCTTTATTTTTATTACTTTTCAGTAGGAATCCGAGTAACCTTGCTGTTGGTGCAAACCAAAGATCTGAGGATAACGATGGGAGTCAGCGAGGAAGGTTCTGGACAGACATGGCTGGGCCTAGAACTAAGAATCCAGAAAAAGGATCATGGAAAATTATATACATAAGATTTGTTTGAACGTTGTCAGACTACTATTTGTACAATTTTGCCTCCCGAGGTGAAAAAAATAAAGATGTTTTTGTTTTCTTGGACAACAACCTGCATGCAGAAGTCCTGCTTGGGCTATCGCAATGTAAGTATCGTCATGTCTTTTGTATCTTGAGTGATATATATGTATGTACTTATAGCAAGCAGGTGCACTCTAGGGTTCTATGCAATCTCGCTGCAGCTGCAAAGAGCCCAATGCGCACACCTAAGAGCAAAGTGCCCCCAACAGCATACACCATGGTCTAACATTGGTGAGCAGCGCCTTGTGTCTGTACGTCTTTCGAAACGGCCAAGGCGCGATCTATTAGAATGCTAAACCAAACGGTTGTGAAGCATGGCTGTTCCTAGACATTAGACCAGGCGAATCACTTTACGACAGACCACGAGCTAGTGATTAGTCGAACAGTCGCCTGGAGCAACCTTCAGGTTATCTGGGTGGAGTTGAAGGCTATCTGTGAGATAAGTTTCGTAGCTGAGCTGGTCACTATCACCGCCCACGATCGTCCTTCGGTATAGGCAAGTTCAACATAGACAGCATATTTCGTGCGGGCCCTGCACCACCCGCCTGACTTTGTAGGGCTTCTAGCAAGTTCTTCGCGAGATTTATGTCGATATCTCCATCCTCAAGGTCGGGTATTTCCCCTTCACCTTCATCATGGTCCTCGCTTGGCTTTCCTTCAGACAATGCCTGCTTACCTGCTGATGCCATACCGGGGCGATTCAGGTCAAGCACACCCGTGCCTCTCAGCTCGGCTTCCATCTGCCGTGATAGCTCTTGTATCTGTTCGGTATCATCTTCAGATTCAGCATCTAGTTCTTCCACTCGACTACGAGGCATCGATGGCCGAGATGAGCCCTTGGAACCAGATGCCGAGGGCATTCCCATCATCTCTTTCATCATCTTTGAGAACTCCTCTTCATCAAAGGATGCCTCCTTGTCCTCCCCATCACTGCTTACTTCATCATCGTCATCATCATCACCGTTGTCGGAATCAGAGCCATAATCGTCAAAAAAGTCAGCCCCATCGAGACCAGCTGAGTCATTATTCAGAAACTCTTCAAAGCGTGCAACAATGCGCTGAAGATTCTCTTGGGCGTTAGCATCGCCAAAATTTCCCTTGGGAAGTTTCCCGTCATCCTTTTCCTTCCCTTTCCCCTTCAGCTCCCTGTCGAGATCCTCAAAACTGATGTCTAGCCACTTTTCGTCATCCTCTGTTTTGTCCCAGGTAGAGATCTCCTCATCGGTAGGCAGATACTCATCTCCGCTTTCGATATCTTCCAAGACAAGTTTTATCTCCCTCACGACGGCCTTGTCTTGGTTTTGTGGGTCGGTGAGAAGCATTTCAAATCCACAGGCAAGTTTCATACCCAGTTCTGCCTTGTCATAAGCCTTTTGATCATCCTTGGACGGTAACACTCCAGCCCATAATTTTGGCACTGGGAAATCCTGGCTTTTGAGCTGGGCATAACCGACTCTAGTGAACCGGACGCTGACCGTGACGAAATCCTGTGGCTTAAAGACGAAACTATCGGATTCCTTAGCTCGGAGAGGTCGTAATGCAATTGGGTCCCTTAGATAAAAGGCTTCCACTGCTGATGATATATAGGCGGGCTTCTGGTGTAATAAGTAGGCGATCTTGCGTGGGATCCTAATCAGTGCGGAGTGAAGGTTTTCGCGGATTTGCTGGGGATAATTGCGCAATCGGTAGAATGCCTCCTCCTGAATCATTGCTGAGCGCATAAGCCGTGCAGGTTCCTCGACGATGATCTTCCTCGAATCTGGAAGGGATAGCTTCTCCGTCACTTTGCCCTTTTGTTTCTTCGGCTTGATGATAACAAGTTCACCACGATGTATCCACACCTACAGAGATCATAAGCACTATGCAACGGACTCACAAACAATGATCTTCTTACTCGATTATCTGCTACTTCGGGC